ATTGAGGACTGCATAGACAAACAAAATTTGCCTATTCTTGATGTATCACAATCCCCCTTGTCATTGTATCTTAAATTCAGTTTGAGAATGTATTTGCCAAAATCACAAATGTATTACACTGGACCAAACTTGTTTTTGCTGTATTCCATATTCTAACAGTAATTGATGAGTATTCAGCCCTCTGTTTTGGAAACATATTTTACATTTTAATTAGAGGACCAACTCTCTCCTTTCTAATCTTTGATTTTGTTTTTAAATAATATTTTATTAACTCTTTGAGAACTTCATATAGTATATTTTGATCATATTCACAACTCCTCTCAGATCTAGCACTACCTCCCTACCCACCCAACGTCAAGCCCATGAGTCTCAACCGTCATTACAAGAGGTTCTTTGTGTGGTAGATGGCCATTAACACAGAACACCACAAGTAGTCTATGTCCAGAGAATAACAGACTAGAGAGTGTTCAGCTCTCCAAATGGTTCATTTTTATCACTCCCCTGTCCCAAGGCTCAAGAATTGTCTCCTAGAAGACAGGGTACAGAAACTGTAGTCATTCACTGCCTCTTACAATGAAGGTTTTCTGGACACAACACAGCAACTACACAAATGAGTACACAGCAATTTTGAGAGTATGCTCAAGATGCAAACATGCTCAAGCCAGACAAAAATGACATCTCGGCAGAAGCTAGAAGGTGAGACAAGGGTTCCACCTTGTCCAGACAGGGTTGTTGTTTTGTTTGTTTATTTTTCTTTTTATCAACCTGATAATCAAGCTATAATTATTGAGAAAAGAATAGCCTCAATTAAGAAAAATGTTTGCAAAACCAGGCATGGTGTCATGTGCCTTGATTCCTAGCACTTGGAGAGCAGAGCTCTGTGACCTTAAGTCCAGTCTGGTCTACATTGTGAGTTCTAGAACAGCCAGAGCTACATAGCTAGACCCTGTCTCATACAAAAACACGGGGGGTTGGGGGGGGGGGGGTGGAAACGAACTGATGGTGACAGGGAAGGGAGAGAAGGAGGGGAAGCAGGGATGGAGGGGGAGGAGGGGAGAATGAGTGAATCTCTATCAGATTGCCATAGGCAAGCCTATGGAGATATTTTCTTGACTAGTGATGAGGGAGGGCCCAGCTCACTGTGGGTAGTGCCATCCCATTGCAAGTCGGGTTTTTTTAACACAGAAAACCAGGCTGAGCAAGCCATATGGATCAAACCAGTAAGTAGTACTCCTCCACGGCTTCTGCTTTGGTTCTTGCCTCCATGTTCCCGCCTTGGCTGCTCTCAGGGGACTACAGCCCTTGGACAAGTAAGCCATATAGCAGTTGCTATTGGTCATGGTGTTTTATCATAGCAATAGTAACCCTAACTAAGTCACATTTCTCTCCCTTCCAACCGTCCTAGCCTTTAGCTTTACATGTGGAGGCATCAGACATTTCAAATTCAGTTTGTGAGCCAAGGCCCCTGAAAGCATACTGTCTACCTCAGAGACTTAAAGGTTATCTTATAGTAAAGACAAAGTAGGCTAATTCCTGCTTAGGATTAAGCCTTTTTCTCTCAAGAACTGGGCTATACCCAACCCGTAACCTTAACTCCAAATGGTTCTATACTGCTTGTTCCAAAAAACAGCAAACATGATTTTGTTTCAAAAAGTTGTAATAAGCATCTTGGAGCCCTACCTTTGTTTCAAAGGTTGTTATGACTACTTGTTGTCCTGACTACCTTGCTACGACCACATTGCTGCCATGTCTTCGTTTCAGGGCGTTGCTATGACTAGCTAGTTATGTTCTGCTTCTATAACTCGCCTATTTGCCTACCAAATCCTCCATTTGGAACGCCCTATACCCGAGCTACATAAACCTTGTCTTCCTCATTTCCAGGGTTGACCTCATGAACCTAGCCTTTAGGGGAGGCAGTCCCCACTCATGAATAAAACAGCTTGCTTTACTTAATTACTTGCTTTAATTAAATGTTTGCTTTAATTAATTTGGCCATAATGATTTGGGTTGGTGGTCTTTCTCCTTGCATCTTTGGGATTATTAACATCTAGATGCCTACTTGAGATATGAACATTGACATCTAATAGATACCACAGGCCTAATGTGCCCAAAACAAAGCTCTTGATTCTACCCCAACCTGAAACTCGAACTCTTTTGTTTACCTCAGGAAATAATGATTAGGAGTCCATTGATAATATTTTCTGTCAAACTCTAGAGTAAACTTTAAATATTTTCTCCAAAAATGATCACACTGCCCCCATCAGTCACCACCCTGGAATGAATGAGAAGACTCCCAGGTCAATGGACTAGAATCGCTCTTCAATAAGAACACTTCCCTCAAATTAAGCAAATATTACATGTCTTAGTTCAGGTTTCAACTGTTGTGAAGAGAGGTCATGACCATGGCAACTGTTATAAAGGAGAACATTTAATTGGGGCTGGCTTAGTGTCAGAGGTGTAATCAAATATCAGCATGAAGGAAAGCATGGCAACACACAGGCAGACATGGTGCAGGAGAGGTAGCAAAGAATTCTACATCTGTATCAGCAGGTGACAGAATAATGAGTTACACTAACCCTCACTTAAGTTTCAAAACCCACCCCTAGGCCACATCTATTCCATCAAGGCTACACTTCCTGATAGTGCCACTCCCTATAAGCCTTTGGGGGTCATTTATTCAAAGCACCCCAATACCCATGCAGATAGAAACACCACCAAATAGAGCCAGAAAATAAACTGAACATTTGATGTAAAAACATCAAATGCATTTTCTATACGTTGGCTGCAGTGATTGTGTTAAAGTTTAACTCAGTTCACATCACTCTTCTGCTCACAGGCTTTCTGACCCTCTAATAATGAAGGCAAAAATCTTTTCCAGAAGCTACACAGGATCCCAAAGTAAGTGTGACCTCATACCCTGCCCACCTCTCTGCCCACACCGGGTTTCCTGTAACTTATGCAACTGCTCATGAGTGCTTCCTCCACAGAATCATTGCCAATGCCAATCACTCTGCCTCAAGGCTTGATTCTTAACTTCCACTAGGATGTCTACATTCTAATGTGACCTTATTTAGAGAGATGTTCTAGGGATTTCAGAGCTCTGGCATGATCCTAAAAGTTCTATTTCCTCATGTACACAGCCTATTTCATAACCCTCTCCCCTTGGTACAAAGAAGACTAATAAATAGGATGAGGTATTCCTAAAAGCCTGAGTCTACAGGTCTAAAGAATTCAGTTTGGCCAACAGCCCAGGTGAGCTTAGCAGAAGGCCTTGAACTCCACTAGGCAGAGTACCTTAGTTACCGTCTTTTAAGATATTGGAGAATCCAGCAAAGCCGGCCCTGCACTTCTAACATGATAAAACAGTAAGGGGGTGTTGTTTCATGTAACCATTTGGGGTACATGTCACACATCATTAAGTCTGATATAACTGTCTTCAAGTTACTATTGCTGTGATGAAACATCATGGCCAAAGCAACTCGTAGAGAAAATGACTGTTCCTCATCAAAGGAAGTCAGGACAACAATTCAAGCAGGGCAGGAACCTGAAGGCAGGAACTGATGCAGAGGCCATGGAGGAGTGCTGCTTACTGGCTTGCTCCCCATGGCTTGTTCAGTCTGCTTTCTTTAGAATACAGGACCACCAGCCCAGGGATGGAACCACCTGTAATGGGCTGGGCACAGCCCTCTCTAGTCACTAGTTAAGAAAATGCCCTATAGGCTTGTCTACAACCTGATCTTATGGAGGTATCTTCTTAATTGAGGTTCCCTCCTCTCAGATGACATTACCTAATGTGAAGTTGACATAAAAGTATCCAGTACAATACCTTCAATAATATGTACCAAGATTCCCTTCCCTTCTTTTCATTTGATGTAGGTTTTTCTTTCAGAGAATTAGATATACAATGAATTGAATTTGAATATACAAATCTCTACTCTGGTTCCAAAGGCAAAAACACGAAATGGACTACTTCATCCTTTGGCAATAGCTAAAGTCACTAATTGTACATATTCCTCAAAGCTATTGCATTCTAACAGTTCCAGTCTTTGGTTTCAACATCCACTCTAACTTAAATGTCACCTGTGGCAAGCCTTAGAAGGTATGTATAAACACACTGCAGAGGGTGCACAACGGTAGGAAGGAAGGGGTGCTCACAGCAATGGCAATCTCTTCCTATGGACTCTGCTAACTCCATAAGTTGGACATCAACCTTGGCCTTGCTGTAGACGCACTTTTCCCAGACAAAGCTGTGAATATGCCCATTAATCACAAAAGCTTTGTGGGTAAAACTGTCAGGAGAACCCATGACTCCCCTTTATACCCTCAGAAATGTTATAGCATCCTGACTGACCTGGCAAAGTAGGCTGGCTGCAATTAAGTTTACCCAATTTTGCTTCCTCTTGAGGTACTACATCCTTAAACAAAGAACATCTGCAAAGACAGACCTTTAAACTGAAGAAAAAAAAAGCCTTAAAATAGAAACAGCTTTCATTCACAAGGCTATGGCGTGTCAGGCGCCATATTTGTATCCATTTCCTAGAAGATTGAAAGTGCTTTCAAAATATATCTGTCATGTCTCCACAGTGGCTGATCAAACCTGCCACTGAAAAATGTTCTGAACAGGCAACTTGTAGTACAAGCATGGTTTATTTCTGTCAGAAACTGACTGCTGGAGTGTGAAAGAGACTCATTAAAAATCTCTTACTGTGATCTTACATTGTTAAAAAGAAAAAAGAAAAAAAAACGATTAAAAAAGCAAGGGGAGAAAAAAATGTAATGAAGTGTATATAGAGCCTACAGATGCTTTCAAACAGCGTTCCTCTTATTAATCGTTTTGGAAGCAATGAAAGGAATATAATTAGTTCCAGGAATGTGGCATATATTGTTGTTTGGGAAAATCAAGTGAGTTAACAATTTTATCTTATCCTAATATTATGAAAAGTTACAGGAGGAGGTCAGAATACTGTAGAGAAAAAAGGATGCAAAATAATGTTATTTACCTTAATCTTAAAACAAGGTTGACCGCACAAGGACCTTCTCTGTAGTCTTCATTAGCATTTGGTTGGCCCTTTGAAAAGAAAACAACAAACAATGTTATAAGCTTTACTGGGAAAAGGATAAATACAATCTCAGTATCTCTTGATTCCTATAGACCTTTCTGGAAACTTCAAGATTAGAGTTTATCCCAGAAGGTCTTCTTTGGTTTCCCACGACCTTTCCAGAGGATCAGAAAGATGCTTAGTTAACATCATACTGTGGGTATGAATGCTCCATACAGACAGCCTCACTCATAAGATGGATTCTGTGCACAATACTGCTGCATCTAGTTCAAATTAAGGCCATCCATCTAAAGTGGCACTTTGTTGGTCCAGAACAAAGAGCCAACATGCACTGGACCTCGGAGATGCACAAAGGTAAGGAACCTTGCCAAGGATGGTTGTGACACTTGTAATTCCAGCATTCAGGCCATGGAAGCAGAATTGCAAATTTAAGTACAGCTTAGGCTACATACCAAGAACCTGTCTCAAAAAGCAAGAGCTAGGGATGTGGCTCAGTGGCAGAATACTTGCCCATCATGCATAAATCATTAGGTTCTATGCCAAGACTATATGTGGTGTGGGTACGGGTGGGATGGGATGACTTAAGTACATTAAACATAAGCATCAGGGGGTGAACACAGATTAATCAATGCTCATCCTCCCTACACTTCTCACCTATCATCCTGATACAGATCATCCATCATGGATGACACAGACTATTCTGTGAATACCCAGACCTCCTGAAATAAAAGATTTCAGGTAAAGCTTGGCTCTTCTGGTAACCTGCCACGCAACCATGGGCAAGTAATTCTCAGAGCCTGTTGCTCCATTTACAAAATAGGTAAGCCACTTCTCACAAAAGGTTGCTGGGAAAATAAGAGATGTAAAAGTGAGACATGAATTATGAAATGTTAATCAATACTGTCCCCTTATTCTCTTTACTTCCTTTGCTTTTCGACCCATGCTTCCTCCTAATTTGTCTTTTATGGAGAGGCTAACCCTATGGTTTACCTCAGAGTCTTTGACTAAGTTGGATGATAGAGTATAAAGACTGAAAGTAGATCCCACTTCTGTTTCTGTGTAGCTAGCTACATGGCCTTGCACAAACCAGTTAACCTCTACGTCTCTTTCTGCAGCTATAAAAAATAAGGAGTAGCTATCAGACCTCAGAGAGGTTTCCTATAGTCATGAAGCCCTTCTGTCTAAATATCTCCTCAGTTCACAGCTGCCCCATAAACTGTAGAAGCAGGTAAAACAGAAAGACATATGATCAGAATACCATTATACAACAAAACACTCGAGCCAATCCCAGGGCTCTATGCCATACCCTTCCCTTGATAGCTTCACCACCCAACACAACCACAGCATGGGCCTCCTGTGATACAGGTTCTAAGTACACAACATACAGGCACTGCACAGTCACTGGACTATTATTTTAATAAGACAAGTTGTAAACTGGCACATAAAACTCAATGATAAAAGAATCACCAGGAGGAGTTATAGAAATCTAATCAGAAACAAGGGAGAAAAGTATCAACCACAGTGCTTGATGGCTAAAGTGTAACAGACTTAATCATTTTCTTCTCTTTGTTTATTGTCCACAGTACTGGTGATTCCAGAGGCACTTGGGCAATCTGTTCCTTCTCCAAAGTTTGTTACTTAGGGCTGAACATCTTGTAAGTGATGTTTTAGAGTAGTTATATACTCCACATCTGCTTTAAGAGATGGTTTCTGTTGTTGCTGTTTTTAAGCCCCTGATTTTGGGAGCACTACCCTGAAGTTGACTGCCTGTCTAAAACTCGATGAAGTTGTCTTCTTTATGAAGTTGTCTACAAAGCATCTCAAATAAAAATGATTGTCAGAGGAACCCACCTGAGAGTCATGCACAGAGAGGGACTGTATTTGCTCGGGGATGCCACCAGCGTTCACCGAGATCTGTCATGAAAACCAGTGTTATGACAAACAAGGAAGCCAAAGGGAGATGTTAGTGTCTGGGACATTACACCATGATCATCAAAGATGAAATTTTTAGAAGACCTTAGGCAACAACATCTATGTAAAGTATGTACCACATGCTGCTAGCCACTCTTAGACTACAGGGTCTGCTTTTTCTGCTATTCAAAATCTCATGGAGAAAGGGGAAAATCTATGTAATCAATCCCAGGATGACGCACATAGTTTATGAGAAACAGCATACTTTAAAAGAACAACTTGATCTCATAGTATCATTCCATCTAACATTAAGGGGGACTTAATGAAAAGATATGAAGAGTGAGCAAAACCTGCCTTTTACATCACTACTTCGAGTAATTTTTCACTGTTGCTTAGAAAAGTAAATGTGGGGGAAAAACAACAACAGAAGCATTTCTCTAAAGGAACCACAAGAGTGAAGCTTTTCACTCAAGATTTCTAGTCTTGTCCTAAGGTATTTCTGCTTCAAGCTCTACTTTTGTGATCTCTACCCTGGGGCTCAAACTTGAGAGAGTCAATAATAACAACAACAAAACTCACCACACTCAAAGAGCAACAGCAATGAAAATGAAGGATCGAGATCTTATTTCTAATTTATTACCAATACTAGAAATCTTTGCAGCAAGCATTTTCCCAAGTCTAAGAACATAAAAATCTTACTCTCTGGGCTCACTCAAAAAGAACTTCATTCAAATTGAAGTAATGGTTAGAAATGTTATTAATTAATTGTTATTAACTATTTAATTGAGTAATATTAATGCTTTTGGTTTACTTTGAAATGCATAGCAGAGTTAAGGTGGGCAACTGGATGAACAGGACACATATACTAAAAGGTGACTTTAGGAACAGTGGAAACACAATGGTTAGTATGTCACTATAATGGTATTTAATTTTGCTTTATGTTTGAAAAGTTATATAACATGTTTGCGAAAAATGATTCTTAGAAACACAACGAATCTCTGACCACTTAGCAGCAGAGGACAAGACCCTCTATCAAATACCACTTCGAAGAATCATGCAAGCTGATCCACAATCTGCCCCCTCCTTCCCTGATGGCATCTGGGCCATCATCAGGATGGAAGGCCAGTCAGGTGGATTGGACAGAAGGACCACACACCTTGCAACTTCTTACATAGGTATAACACTGCATGTCATGAAGCAGCCACTTCTAGCACAGGATACATGACTCCTCCAAACATGCACGGATGCTCAGGATAAGAGAAAGCTCTCCTATATACAATGTATAGTCACTAATAATCATGTGCACTTCTGACTGTCACCACTGTGGGATAGCCCTATGAAATTAGGCCATAGCCTGAGAACTCCGTTAAACTGAAACCCTACAAGAAGGCTGACTGGAGTAGTAGCAGTCACCCTTCAACAACAGAAATTGTATCGGACTGCTTTCTGTCTAAACAATTTGTTACTAGAAAAGTCCTTGAGTGAGTATGTATTTTGACAGGAAGAAAGAATGAAAACTAGAAATGAATGTTGTATATATAACTCTGACAAGGACCTCAGACTGGGTAAAAGAGAGGCAACCACCAACTTCAGAGCTTGGGGGAGTGGGCAGGGAATGAGTCATTGTCTGCTTCCCAACTTCTCAGAGCTGGGCCTTGTTTGCTCTTTTTCTATTTTTAATAACACTATAAGAAAATGCAATGTGTTGTGTTGGATTGCATCCCGCTAGAGTAGAAGAAGGACATTAGTGAACAAATTAGTGAAATAGATTAAGAATTCTGAAACTTAGCTAATAATAATGTAGCAGAATCCAATTTTGAGTTTTGATAAATATGCCCATATTATGTGAAAATCTGACACAGGGAGAAACTGGGGGAGGAGTCCACCATCTTTGTAGCATTTCTATGAATTGAAAATGATTCTAAAACAGAAAGCTGATGTTTGGAAGCACACATTTCTCACCACAGACCTAGCTTTAGTCACAAGTACTCTGAAGGGCAGTCACCTGCACTAAACCGCAGCAGTTACAACCCAGGCTGAGCAGCCTGTGACAGACAGGGGTCAGCATGATATATTCAGAAAGAAATCAGGCCTTTCTCTGCCTTTACACAGAAGTAAAAGACAAGCTTGTCTGGAACTGCTAAGCATCAGAGAAACACCTTTCATCGGAATGGTAGTAAAAGCTAGTGGCAGTTTTAAAAAACATCAAGCAACAGAAATAAATGTAATCTTCACGTGTTTAAATCTTTAGTTAAACCTGGTAAAAATTAATTCAGTCTAAATCCGTATTGAAATACTTTTCTAATCAGAACAGGATCGGAGAGCCAGCAAACAGAGACTTTCCTAATTATCCTAGACACAGGATAGCAAAACCCTTCAACAGCCTTCTTGTAGGATCTGCTTAGCTTAAGCCAAAGACAATTTTTCAGCTGATTTCTGAAACGTTTCCTTTCATCTTTTTATTATTTACTTGTTTGTTTATTCATTCACTCATTACTGGATGTCATTCTGCACATCTGGATTCAGAGTGACTTCTGCTGTTTGCCCAGTCCGTTGTCTAGACCCGAGCCACTAATCAGAAACTTTTTAAAAATCGTAGTTGCCTAGACCAAACCTTAAACTAGGGAAGAAATTCAACTCTACTGCCTGAGCCTAAGAATCACTACAGGTTTTTCAAGGTTTTGCCTGCTGTGATTAGAGGCAGGGCTTTTAAAGGGAACTGTTTAAATGAAAGCCTTGCTGACAGCCTTCCTCAGTTAAACAAAACCAAAGGGAACTAGATTTAACAAAGTCAGCTTCATTTTTCACATAGAAAATTAAGAGAGTGAAGCAAAAATGACCAGAGTCATGTAACAAGTACTTACTTCAGAGTCTGACAAAAAAGAAATCCCAAACCACTTCCCAAAAGAAAAATCAAAGCCAATGCTGGGCAGTGGTGGAGCATGCCTTGCAGAAACAGGCAGATCTCTGTGAGTTCTAGGATAGCCTGGTCTACAAAGTGAATTCCAGGTCATCAAGGACCCACAGAGAAACCGTGTCTTGAAAACAAAACAAAAATCAATAGTGGGCAGTAAGTAGAAACTTTCAGTAAGATTTATGAGCTAGGAAACAGTCCCTAAAAACTCAAGTCCTTGGCCAGGCCTTCCTCCACACCCTTCCGCAAAGATGAAAAGCTCCCCAGAAAGCAAGCGTTCTCTCCTCTTGGTGCATAAATCCCCATGGTGTCTAACACAGTTCCACACAGACATGAGGTATGGGCTCAGTTTTTGATCAATTAATTCTCTCTAGTTCTAATATTAGTATTGTTGTTAATGAACTTTGGTCTCCATGGACTTCTGTCTCCAAGTAGAACAAGATGATAAATAGAAGAGGGCAATTATCCATTTGCTGCAAATTATTAATTACTAGTGGGTAAGCTTCCCAGAAGATCATATTTTTCAAACTGGGCCAATTTTTCAAAGTGCTGGGCTTTGAGTTTCAAGCAAACCAGCTGAACTCTGAAAGCTTAAAAGTCCACATTGGAAATCCTCTCCGAGGTAGAACCTCTAAATTTGGCCTAAGAACTACCTCGCCTATGGTATCCCATAGACAAATACCTCCTCAGACCTTGACCAATCTCCAACAGTTGCTGTAATGCCTGCATATGCTCCTTAGCCTGCTAAGGATGGCACATGGTCTCTCACAAGCAAAGAACTCGTAAGTGCCACATCTCCCTCTGTCTAAACACATTAGTACCAGACCTGATTTTGCTGAATTTCACCTCAACTGCCTAATGCCTTGTGATCTTTTATTCCCTTTCTGACCATATAAATATTATAGCCTGTTCATACTCTGTTCTGTTTTTACTCTGGTGCCTGGATATTCGTGTTACCAGCAAACAGGAACAGTATATTCAGCATGCAAAGGAGACACGCGTATAAATAAAATACTGCCCTCATTTTCTAGCCAAAGGTGACTGGACCGCAACACTTTTTGAGCCAATGACAGTTCATGAAGTGTGTTCACTTGTATAACTATGCAGAACTTATACTTTTCATTAGAGATAGTTTAGACACAAATGAAAAATCCTCAATCTGCTCTGCTCTAGACACAATGCCAATGTGGGCAAAAGAAGGTAGAGTTCATGGTAGCTAAGTACGATTGCTCTAAAATCCCAATACAACACGTTACCCAGTATGTTCCATTGTGGAGGCTCCGTGGTGTTCTTACAAATTCCTTGAGCAAAGTTGTAAAGTGTGAAATACGGTAGTTCAAAAAACAAGCAGGGAGGAAGGTGGGATCCAAAAGAGAGCTAACATTGGTGTCAGGAACCTGAGAAAGCACAGCAGGAACCTTCCACCACTGGTGGGATGAAGGGGGAGGGTGCTCAGAGGCCAGGGCACAGTGTGGCCTGTGGCTCTGCAGCTGCTTTGCTAAAAGCACAGCCAGCCAAAGGCCACTTCAAACCCAAGGTAAGGTATACTTCACTTAATCAAAAGGAAATGTCTGTTAATTAAAAAATAAAAGGAAGAAGTTTGGATAGGTATCATTTCTAGGCCACAGTTTCCCAGTTCTGTAATGAGGCCTTAGGAAGGTAGGTATTAATTACTGACTGTGAGACACTGGGAGCTATTTAAATATTCTCAAATTTCCTCTATGAGTATTAGCAGCTATAATCATCTTCAGGCATTAGGATAATTAATCATATGGAAGAAGTAAGTAAAAAACGATCTCAGTCAAAAGATGACCAGTCCTCAGAGACTCCATGAAGAGTGTTTCTCACTTACCTCTAATTCACCCAGCATATTTAAAAGTCAAGAGTCACACACTCAACCTGCTCTCTTTTTTTTGTAAATTAAAAGTATGAGGCAAATTTTACGTGCATGCTTTAAGTATTTTCCAAATAGTGGAACACTACAATCTAGAAATAATTATCTCCCTGTGAGGGCCAAAGATTCCTCTGAGTGTGTCCAATACAATTCTAGCAGTGTTCTTGGCTACCTCATAAGCACTGTGATCACCTTATACCATGAGGAATAGCAGACGCTCATAGAGTAGAGAAATTTGGTAATTTGTCACACTTTAATCAGGCCAAGGTAACTCAGACAGAATCCAAGACAATGAAATCTATGTGCCTTTCCTACTCCCATGAGATTCTGAGAACAGTTTCCCAAATGGGTCAAACTCTGCCACCATGCCATAATGGCACAATGGGGGACTAAAGAATGAATAAATAAATCATCACTCCTCACCTCTGGGTTCTCTTCTTTCACTCTTCGTGACTGCAAAACAAGTATATGTCCATTAAAATCCATGAAATTCCACAGAGCCACGACGCAGGCTGACCGGCGGTGGCCTAGGCTGACCTGCGGTGGCCGAGGGCAGTTACCTTCTCTTGGGATGCAGCTGCCTTCCCCTCCTCGCTCTTCTCATCCATCTCGTCATCACTCCACTCCCAGTCGCCATCCTCAGTCTTATGAAGGTGACCGCTTGACCCAGGAACTCGCCTCACCTGAATCAAAATAAAAGCCACACTTTCACGGGTCAGATGGACACAGCACTCACTGGTACTGCTACATACGTTATTCAGCACACGCATAAGACTCTGAAAGGTAACCCAAGTGAGTATCAATCCACAGATAACTGGAAATTAACACACCAAGACACAAGAGCCCTAAGACTCCCACCCTCATCATTCTTCCAAAAATACTGTGTTCTTGAAATGCATTAGTATCACATTTAGAACAAAAAAAAAACATTTTAAAAAATATCATGGATGTAAACCATTAAAAAAAAGACTGCATTGTTCAATTTTACTTAACTTAGAAACTTTATTAGTTACAATTCAAAGTCATGCGCTAAGTTTGAAAATTGCCTATGGAAATGCACCCAAGTGGCTGACTGCTGACTGAATGGAGACAGAGAAATCTGGGCACCTGATGAGTCACATTAGGCCAGAGTATCAGCAATCTAAAATCTCATGTCCACACAGCAGATCCCCTTCCATTGCTAACTTGCTCTTTTTCAGAGTCTGACAGTATACCTGTATCCCCAGGATTCTGTTCAACTTACTTGAGCAAAACAAGACAGCAATAGACGATCCCCAACACACATCTAAGCACATGAGACACTCAAGAGATGACAAACACAGCATCTTCATCCTCAACTTGGACATCAGGTTTCCTGTCAGGGTGTCAGTCTATCATATAAACCATAAGGCATATTTTCAAGTGTGCTGTGGTTGGTAAGGAAAAGCTTTTACAAGGAGAGGACAATGGAGAATGGGCTGCTGTCTATAGTAATTTGAGACGTAATTTGGCAAAGCCCTGCAACAGCTGAGCACCATGTGAACAGACAGCAGGCGGGCCACTGATTCAGAGGAGTTTCAAGTGAAAGAGTGCCTTAGAGACTGTGTGCTCAACCCCTTCATTTCACAAACGAGGAGATGAAGGCCCAGAAAGCAACCCAAGGAAAAGCAGCTGTCAGGAGGAAAAAAATTCAAAGGAACAAACAACACCTCAGACTCTCATCCCCCCACACCCACACATGTCACTGAAATAAGAAAGAAGCTGTCTAGAGAATGTGCTGTGAAGACATTCAATGTCTATGATATGGGACTGGGGAGAGGGCTGGAAGGGAAGTGTTCCTGTCTTGCAATCATGAAGACCTAGGTTCAATCCCCAGAACCCATGTAAAAAAGAACTCTGCATAACGGTGTATACAATTTCAGTGCTGAGGAGATGAAGACAGGCTCACTGGCAAGTCAGCCTAATGTATCTCGGTAGTTCCAGGTCAGAAGAGGATTCTGTGTTTAAAAAGGGAAGGTAGGCATCATTTGAGAAACGCTACCCATTGTCTTCTAACCTACACACACACACACACACACACTCACTCACTCGCACGCATGCACGCACTCATGCACATCTGTGATGTGACGAAGACTTTTTCTCCTTTTTCTACAATAGAAACCATTGCGCCATATCACAGGCATGTCACTGAACAAAAGAGAAATACTGAAAGCTTGAAAGTTAAGTTGTGTACATGTCCTATGAACAGGAAGACATGAACAGCACATGCTCAGAGGTAAGCTGGAGTATCATGTATAATCTTTGAAGGTAACTCTGACAGCCTGCTCATAAATATTTGAGCTTTAACAGAAAAAAAAAATTCAAAAGAAATAAAAAGTTATTCATAATTTAACTTTTAAAGGATGCAATCATTTTTAGCACTCCAAAAAACCAAAAAGTCACCTCTGAGATGCTCAGTACACACCTCAGTGCTTAACATAGTTGTTTCCCCCCACTGGACTTTGAATTGCTGCAAAAACTCTATTATAACGTTAGCGGCTTTAATGGTTCTTATAGATGCTGGCAAAGTACTACAGAAATAAATGCTGAAACGCACTTAAGGATTTTTACAACAGATTGCTCATTTCCAAACTATCAAGAAACGAATAAGGGAAGAGGAAATGATTCTCCACTGACATATGCAATTAATTTCTTTGGCAACACTAATCATGATGCGGAGTATTTGTTAATGACTATATTTAAAAGAAAGGGATTTAGAGCTGTAACAATTATAAAACAGATTTTCGGCTAAGAAGTGAGAAAGCAAATAAAATCATAGACCAAAAACCAAGATAAAACTCCACCTTTATGAAAAGTTGCAGAAACCAAGGATCATTGATAAATTTAATGTTCTCTGTTAAATTACACAAAATGAACCTCCTTCTTCCTGTAAACAGCTCAGATTTGTGCTCTGAAACACAGATCGTGCCTTACCCCCCCACCCCACCCCCACAAGTGCTGCCTTCCTGCGATCTGTCAGTTACTGATCTACAAGCAGAATCCAACTGCAAAGAATATGATCCCTATCCCCTCTGTGTCTGCTTTACTGCAGAACCCTAGCTGCTTCTCTCTTAGCTTTATTTGCTGAAAGAGAAAACGATAAAACACAATGTCTAGGATTATAGCCCCGGCTATTGAAAGACATGATAGGATGGGCCTTTAAGCAGCTGTTGGTTGAACAAACTAGTAAGGTATAAGCATTAACTTAATAAGAACAAAAAACATCCCAAAACTTATCAAGGAAAATATAGATTTAACAGTATCAAGAATAAAAACCCAAGTTTGTCTGTGCCGAGGTCCCCAGACCACTCCTAGGAATAAAACTGCGGCAAAAATTGAAAGGCAGGTTTCAGGTTGTGTTTATGTGACAGTGACGAAGTTACATCCTTGGAGGGAGTTTATGAGGACAGAGCCACAGCTTTTACCTCGTAGAGTCGAAGCACTTAAATTTCCCATAGTTTTACAAGTGCCCTTCTGACTTAGGAGTGTGAAAAGATTTGGGGGAGGGGAGCCTTTATTTTCATCTCCCTTTCGATGACTACAATTCATTACAGAAAGGAACCAAGGCTCCCAGTTCCCACTAGGGTGGGGGTGGGGACAGAAACCAGACACAGAGGAGTGGTGGTACTCACTGGCCAGCTCTTGTGGCCACTGGGCAGGTGTCCGGGGCAAATATTCGACACAGCAGGAGGCAAAAGAGGGCAGCATGGTGGAACACGTGACCAGCATGCTCTAAAGGTTCCTGTGGCATCTGTGTAAGGATGATTTTCCACATAGCTCCTGATTTCAGACCAGGGAAGATAAAGAATCTATAAGGAGGCCAACAGAGACCTGTTACACATAGCTTTTGACCACAGAAATGGATGCGCATCTCTCTAGCACACTGGTGAGCAAAAGAAGAACGTGGGTCCAGCTGGCACAGTCAGCCACTGACCAACCACCGTCGACGCCTTTCACTGCCATAAAACTCTCTAGACACTGCGTCTTGGAACCTCCTTGGAATAATTTTCACCATTATTGAGGAGCCCTCTCAGCTTCTCTTCCCCTGCAAACCTACCATGTGCCTGACTCGGCCCTGTGCCCTGTCATAGGGGACTGGCCAACCCAGCTGTCCCCTCCCCCAAGCTCCCCTGCGCAGCAGAAAGCAACACAAGCATATTTCTATTTTTAGCCATTCTACTAACAAGAAGCATTAAAGTTGTTTCTAATTAATTGCTGTTTTTAACATACTTGAGGCGATGCCAAGCAAACAAAAAGCCTTCTAAGTTATCAAAAATTAACAAACAAAATGAGACGTGGTAGGGTTTCGGCAGTAAGCATTGCACTGTCCCCGGGGCTCAAGCCTTGGCACCAGCTCCCCCAACATCTCTGTCCTGAATGTGCTGCCTGGCCTCCAGGGCCCCTCCAGCTCTGTCTTCTGCCTGCCATCACACACAGCCTGGGGCCTGGGCTGACTGTCTACACTTGCACTGCCTCACACCTTACACTCCCTTGCTCTGGCTGGCTGGTCTGGTCTATTTAGCAGAGCACTGAGAAGGCCTGCTGGTTGAACCTATACATCCAACTCCCAGCCATCTTGCAGGCGTGGCTACATGCATTTTTTTTTTTTTACCTCCAGCTCTCAATTCTGAGTTCATGGTGATTATCCTCCATCATATTTATCTGCCTCTGCCTGTGGCTGCTCTCTGTTCTGTCTTAACAATAAACATGGCTTCTCCTCTCCGCTATACACTCTCACAAAACAGTGTGACTGTAAGTCCGCAGGCCTTCCCCACAGCCTCCCTTTTCATCCTGAAGGATGTCTTCAGACAACATAGCATGTCTTAGTTTTGATTTCCAAGTCCATGGCTGGATATGAACACCTTAGCAAGGCCTCGAAACTAAATTTCAGAATTCTCTATGAGCAGCCTCATTCCCACACTTCTCCAGTGCTGTCTGAGTTAACACCTCTAGATTTTCCCTCACATCAACCATGACTGTCACAGCGACCAAAGGGCTAAAGCTGCCAGCATGACGCCTGTCTCTTATAAACACCCAAGACCTGAAAGGTAATAATATTAATGGAATTAATTCTTCCTCACAGACTAGTCCATCAAACACCTCATTTTGCAACCTTTTCCTCTTCATCTACCACAATGTACTGCCACTATTGTTCCTTTTAACACCAGGGCTGCCTTTCCTATTAAACACAATGCTAACTCATCTCCAAGCCTCTGGACCTTCCCTCAGTTTAGCCTTCATATTGTGTCGAGCAGGACACACTTACTTTCTCACTCGCACCAACAGGATGACTCCAGACATTTTAACATCCAAATCTCTTGATATTCTGGCCTGAGAATACATGTATTTTCAGGACTCACTCTCCACTGTATCCCTTTAGACACACAGCCAGGGTGTGTACAAATTGGATAGTTTCTTGCCTCTGCTAACTTACACATGCATGATACACACCATGACTTGACCTGTCTGTCCATGTTCTCAGATATTCAGGAGGCTAAGTCAGGAAGATGGATACCTGAAGGCCTATGTGGGTCATGAAATGAGTTCAAAGGAACCCTGATCTTAACTGGAGTCCAGCAGCTTTGTCTGAGTCTGACTGAGTGGGTTAGTGGATCACACAGGGCTGACAGAACAAAGCAGACTCGAGAAAGCAGGGCCAGGTCAA